TTATATATGAGCTGCAGTTCATTATCTTGGCTGCGGTCAAACTGGTTACTCATGAGCTACGGTTCTTTATCCTGGATGCGGTCAGTGACTCACTTCTAGGGCTGCGGTCCACCCCATGGGCCTCGTGTGCTGTGGTCCACCGATTGGACGCGTCAGGCGGTGTGTAGGGTCACTAGCCCGAGGAAGGCCATAGTCCACCGAATGAGTTGTCAGGCGGTGTGTAGGGCTATGGTCGGCTGCGATCCACCGAGTGTATGTGCCAGCGGTGTGTAGGGTCGTAGTCCCCAAAGATCCTAGCCCACCGAATGAGTCCCTCAGGCGGTGTGTAGGGCTATGATCAGCTACGACCCACCGACTGAGCTCGTCAAGCGGTGTGTAGGGTCGTAGTTTCCAAAAGAGGATCACAGTCCACCGACTGAACGCGTCAGCGGTGTGTAGGGATGTGATCCGCCGTTGAAACTATCGACGGTCTACACAATTGGCTGCGGTCAGTTCCTTCATGCTGCGGTATGAGGTAGGGTGCTGTTAGGCCGTGTTAGCGCTATATGCACTAACCCTCATGTTTGGGGCATGCGATTGGTCCCGTGGCGCCACCAAAGTGTGCTTGTGTGACAAGGATATTGATTGAATAATGATGTGAATGATTTGAAAGAGAAATGTGACCTTAGATACGTGATTTTATGATGTTGTCTCTATATAATTGATTATCATTGTTGAATGTGTTTATCCCTATCTGTCAAGTCTAATCCTGGTTTTAAAAGCTAGAGTCTCCTAAATATATACCTTCCTGCTTCAAAATGGTTTTACTATATCTATATATATATATATATATATATATATATATATATATATATATATATATATATATATATATATATATATATATACTTACCTATATCGTATTTTAACGCGTTAGAGTGGGTTACCAGCATTATTCGCTGAACAGATATATTTGGCTTTCAGGCACAGATGAGTAAACTCCAGAGCGCGCTAGAGAACCGAAGCGTAGATAGTTAGTTTTCCTTTCGGCCTGCGTGCCATGATGATGTACTGACATTGCTTTGAGGATATTTAGTTAGTATAGCCTGTGCATCTGAGTTCTCCGGCTCAGATGTGGCATAGCACCCCGCACACTTATGTTTAATAATGCTCTGTTTTGGGATTTAATGAGAAATTACCTTTATTATATAAGTTTTAAAAGGTTCAAAAATCTGGGGTGTTACATTGACACTCACCACAGTTTACTCGGTTCTTCTCCTGCTTGCATTGGCAAATTGGATACTGGCAGTCCGACACCATCTTGTCTCCGATCAGTTGGCGGCTTTGCTCTACAAGATCAGAAACAGACTTTTTTTCAACCTTGGAGTAATTATTTTCTCGCACCTTATGTCCTTTTTGAAAAAGACGGAGGCCAAAGTTCATCTACCGTATCCTAGTCTGATTTTTGGTATTCTACAAGATCATGGCTTCAAGCCATATAAGGATGAAGTCGTGACTGCTCGTGACAATGGTTACTAGTATGATGACTGTCTAACTCAGAAAGAACACTATGATGATCGTGATACACTCACTGTGCTTCCTAGCGTAGCTACGGCAACCCCACCAGTGTCGGCTCCAGCCTCATCTGCTGACACCATCTCGGCTCCAATTCCAGGTTCCCGGACAGTCCCAAAGGAGCCTCAGACTCTTGTTGACCGTCGACAAATTGTGATCACTCTTGAAGCCTCTATTGCACAGCTTCAGCACTCCATCGCCTCTCAACAAGTGACTATATCCGGAATGGAAAAATTGTGTGATGCATAGCTTCAAGAAATCACTCGCATGGAGGAGATTCATTCCAGGATTCTAGCTTATACGTGCGCTGGTTCTACTGATTCAGAAATTGAAGATGATGATGAAGATTCGGTTTCGGGCACCCCGTCTGCACGTTGATCTAATCCACTACATTGATGTTCACCTCGTTCTGTTTGTCAATTATTTGGCAAAAAGGAGATTTTTTGGAGTAAGGGGGAGTTATTTTGGTAAGTTGTAAGTTGAAATAAAAGGGTCACTCAGGGGGAGTAGTAGTTATGGTATGTTTTGGAATGTCTCTGATGGCTGCAGATGGTATGTTTTGGACTAGTACTCTTATGAACAAATATTATGGTAAATTTCTATCCTTGAATTTGTTATGGTTTACTGCTTACAAGGTTCTATTATGGAAAATTTTTATCTGTGTTTTTGTGGTATTCTAGACAATATCTAAGGGTTATTCGAAAGTCAAAGATCAGTGGATTTTAATTGATAAGTGGTCCAAAAAGAGTTAAGTTTAATTCCTTTATATTAAGTTTTGTTCAGTACATATACTAAGGGCTTCGAATAAAACTAATTTGATTTTTTTTATATTTTGCCCAAAGTATTAGATACTATAGTTTTACCAAATAAATTGCCAAAAGGGGGAGATTGTAAGTGTACAATTTTAGTACACATTAAAACCTTTGTTGGCTAATTTATTTAGTTTCTTTTTTATTATATTTAAATTAGATTTAAGTTAGTTTAAATCTCTTTGGACCACTTTCTATCACCTAAAGTTAATTTGAATGGATATCATGCATTGGCAAATGAAAGGGAAGTCAGTAGTACATTGAAGCCTTCAAACAAAAGTGTGTGGTTGTGGTTAATCGAAAAAGATGTGATGCTAATTATAAGGATCAAGGTAATGGATTAAACATTGCTATAAAATGAAGCCACACCAATGAGGAAAGTTGCTGATTTCGAGAACTGCTATTCTAAGTGAAAGCATTCTCTACAAAGTTATCAAATTAATCTACTTATATTATATATTTTATTAAGGGTTTTAATTCTGAGCTACATAGCCTGTACCTGGTTCTGTTGAAGCTTATCTTGAAGATTGTTATGGCATGCATGGTTCAGTCCTGAATAGGTGTTAGGAAAGGTTGTAGTGGTAAAGGCTGAGAGCCATTTGTACTTACCTTTGTATAACTCAGCTCCTTGGTGAACATCTATAGTGGATTGGGCAGACGTGGGTTTCCCCGCAGACGTAGGAGAAGCGCTCCGAACTGCGTAACAATTCTTCTATTTTCTTATTTTATTTTATGCTTTCAAGTTCAGTTATTTACATTTGATTAAATAACCTGATAAATGAACACGATTGTTGCATAAATTAAAATCAAGTAGAATTCTAAGGTTCATCTTGTATTCAAGATTCACAGTGCAATTTCAAAAGCATTTAACTTGTGGTGGACTGTCATTTGATAAATTCTTCAGTGATTAATAGAGTCTTTATTTTTTTCGAAATTGATCTTGGACCATTTTGATTTGTAAGGCTCAAGACAATTTTGTGGGACATATAAGTAAGACTCATTATGTTTAATTCATTTAAAGTATACATTTTGAGAAGTTATGGTGTATGTTTAAGATTTCAAATTTATGGACTTAGACCTTTTGATTTGTTGTCTAAATTATTGGAATGCCTCTGTGACTTAACTATCTTTTGGCTATTTTGATGGGTGGAGTGACAAACGTGTCAACTACAAGCTCTTAACCGTTAGAGGTAGTGCTTATGTTAACTTATAAAGAAGTCATAAAATATAGTTAATTAGCATTATGCTAACATTAAGATATCTCTACTTAAGGCATTCTTCTAAAGTTTTAGAGATCATACAGTATATCCTTTGTACAATTTAGATGTTTTTTTTTTTTTAAGTTTTGCACATAATATATTTTGAGAAACATCCCTTAAAGTACCGAAAATAAACATAAGGTTTGTTCATAAAGGACCTAAGTTGGAGAATTAAAATGCATGTGACCATAATTGATACTACTCTATTAAATAGATGACATGTCCGCAAATTATGCCCTGGATCCGTGTCCACAATGCATTGTGGACACGAGTCCATAACGACGTCGTTTTCAGGGAAAACGCATCATTCTAGTTTTTTTTTTTTAAAAAAATTGATTTTGTCTCGCCGTTAACGGCGTTATTCGTTTGTACCATTAGGAATGTACATTTGTGGGATTATGAATGTACAGATATGGAATTATGAATGTACAGTTAAGGAATTATGAATGTAAGTTATAAAATTATGAACACAGAGCTCTGACATTATGAACTTACAATTATGAACATATAGTGATAAAATTATGAACATAGAGCTCTAAAATTGTGAACATGGAGCTTTGAAAATTATGATTTTACAGTTATTGAATTATGAATGTACAGTTACGGAATTATGTATGTACAGTTATGCAATTATGAATGTATCGTTATGCAATTATGAATGTACAGTTATGGAATTATGAACACAGAGCTCTGACATTATGAACTTACAATATGAACATATAGTGATAAAATTATGAACATAGAGCTCTAAAATTGTGAACATAGAGTTTCGAAAATTATGAAGTTATAGTTATTGAATTATGAATGTACAGTTACGGAAGTATGAATGTACAGTTATGGAAGTATGAATGTACAGTTATGGAATTATGAACATAGAGCTCTGACATTATGAACTTACAATTATGAACATATAGTAATAAAATTATGAACATATACTACTATAACAAAGCGGTCTGAAATTTAAAAAAAAAAAAAAAAAGTGGAAAATAACAGTGCCACTAACGACACTGTTACCCGTGTCCAGCATGCATGCTGGACACAAATCCATAACATAACGATTGATGACATGTCATTATGATTCATGTGTTTTGTTCGTTGATGAGGGTTGTGCTAGTACTTGCACAAATAGAAGGACCACTCCGCCCTTCTCCAACGAATGCCCAGAGTTGTTCCTTCCTTCATGCGAACCCATTGCAGTACGCTTTTCTACCTGTTCGTACGTACGTAGTTTGCTTCAATTCGAATTGAAGTAGCTAAGGTACGAGTGTCAACAACGTATGTTACATTACTGGAAATTATTGAATTTCCGACCACCTGAAACTGATCTTAAATCAAGTTGAAAGCAAAAAGTGGTCGGAAATAGCAACAAGAGTTTTTCCGGATACCAAAAGTAGTCGGAACAAGGCTTTCAACTTAATTTAAGATCACTTTTAGGTGGTCAGAAATTTCAGAATTTCCAGTGTTACAGCCTAGTATTTATTGCACAGACATGGAAGATCAAAGGACGGGCAGACACTATATTGTTACACTTTACATTCGTGCATATTTCCAATGAAATTTGTGGATACCAAGAAGGGAAGAAGCTTTGGGTGGAGTGAATTGTACATGCCACTATCTAGGGAATATCAACGCCCAAGAGCTCATTAACAAGAAGCTTTGGGTAGCAGACCACTATAGTTGACCACTTAGGGGGCGTTTGGTTCAGGTCATTTTAGATTACCTAGGTAATCTGAGTCTAGTAATTTTATATTACCTTGTTTGGTTCAAGTTATGAGATTATCATGTAATGTTATATTATCTGAAAGCTGATGTGGCAGTAATGTTTCAAGGTAATGTGATTACCCCAATTTTTTAGGTAATCTTAGATTACCTTCAACTATTCCAACTTTTTCCTTGTTAACTAATCCTTTGATTCTATTGGTGTTAACTAATCCCTATATAATAATAATAATAATAATAATAATAATAATAATAATAATAATAATAATAATAATAATAATAATAATAATAATAATGATAATAATGAAATTAATATATATTTATATAATCAAATATACATATGTGTATTATATATTTAGTTTTTTTTTTAACATTTAAGCTTTGATATATAAATAAATACATACACATAATATATATATATATATATATATATATATATATATATATATATATATATATATATATATATATATATATATATATATATATATATATATATATATATATATATATATATATATATATATTATTGAGGGTATTATTGTAAATTAATCCATATAACCTAAAATAAAACTCTGAACCAAACAAGGTAATATTATATTACACCATCCAAACCAAACACACATGGTAATCTTAAATTCCCAAAATCTCACATTACCTTCCAGAAGGTAATCCTATTACCTAGGGTAATCCAAGATTCTGTGAACCAAACGCCCCCTTAATGTTAATAGTGCACTCTTTTTTTTTTTTTTTTAGTACTATGGACTTTATTAAAAAATAATATTTGTTCAATATAATCCAAAGAGTCAATATTCCATCATCGAAGTTCAATTATGTGACTTGAAGAAAAGCTACAAAGTTATCAATCGAACACAAGGTACTTAGTAATATAGCACACATATTCTTGTTGTGAATCAAATTTATATAACTTTATAGTTATTAAGTTAACAATAATTAACGGGTAATTCTATTTACACCACCTATTTTACTATTTGCACCACCTATTTAGTAGGTCAAATAGCTTTATAAGTGGTGTAAATGCCAGCATTAAATGTGGTCAAAATTATTATTTGTTTTTCATTTTTTTTTTTAAATTAACAAAAAAAAAGGGTGTTGCTATTTGCACCACCCTTTGACCAAAAGGGGATATAAAGTATCTTGAAATTGTAAAAAGGTAAAAACTTTTAATAATTGCATAGGTGGTGTAAATAGCCAAATAAAGATTTATTTTGCTATTTGCACCACCTTAACCAAACCTCATTTATGAGGTATAGTTAATAATATTTTAATTCAAAATCTAATTAATTAAAACTTTAATTTTTTTTTTAAAAAAAAGAAGATGAACCCAGTCACTGTTTTGCTTTTGTTTTTTGTTTTTTGTTTTTTTGTTGTTATTTTTTTTGTTTGTTTTAATGCCTAATTATTTATGCAATATTTTTTTAAGTTTCAATAAATATTTTTTTTAAGTTTCTATTTTCAATACATCTTTTTTTTTATTCAATATATATACTTTTTGTTCAATACATATTTTTTTTAAGTTACTAATTTTAATACATTTTTTTTAAGTTTCTAATTTCAATACATATTTTTAAGTTTATAATTTCAATACATATTTTTTAAAATAATTAGTCAATATTAATGTTTGTGAGATGAAATTATTGATAATTTGGACGGCAGAGAATACAAATTGAACTCATATGACTCTATATATATGTGGGGTGTGTGTTATTATGTATATGTATTACACAATCTATAAGCCATGGATGATTGGATAGAAGATTTTTTTAGTTACAATAATCAGAATCAAAGCCAGTTACTTAGTTACAATGATCAAAATCAAAGTCAAGGACATTATATATGTGGTATTTTAAGCTGTTATTTGAATTTGGATTGTTAATGAATTGTTATTTATTTCTATGGGTGTTGCTATTTGTATTTTAAGCCAGTTTGTTCTTGCTTGCTAGGTAATTAGGATTCATTTAAATTAGATATAATTTCTCAATTGACTAAATAACAATCTCTTTGTTCCATGTCAAGAGAGAAAATTATAGTATTAATCAATTTGGTGAATATAGTTGTAAATTAATTTAATTTGTTGTGAATATAGTTGTAAATTAATCAATTTATTGTATTTACAGTATAAACAAATAGGCAGAATTGAATTGTTAATGAATTGTTATTTATTTCTATGGGTGTTGCTATTTGTATTTTAAGCCACTTTGTTCTTGCTTGCTAGGTAATTAGGATTCATTTAAATTAGATATAATTTCTCAATTGACTAAATAACGATCTCTTTGATCCATTTCAAGAGAGAAAATTATAGTATAAAGAGTAATGAATTTGGGATTTTATTTATTGGGTGACTGGTGAGTCTATCTATATACTGAATTAATTTAATTTGTTGTGAATATAGTTGTAAATTAATCAATTTATTGTATTTACAGTATAAAAAGATAGGTAAAAAATCAATTTATTGATTAATATTGAGTACATAGAGCAATATATACTACAAAGAATACACAATTGCAGGAAACTATTCTACAGAGACGGAAGGACAACCATAAATACAAAATTCAAAATAGAAAGAGTGTAGGAACGCATGCAGTAGACTTATTTTATGATTAGAAGCCTTGACCTCAACTTATTTTATGATTAGAATTTTAACTACCTCAAAATGGTTAGAACTCTAATCCACATATCTTTATAAATTGTTACAGTATTTACAGTATAAAAAGATAAGTAGAAAATCAATTTATATTTCAAAGTCTCAATAGAACTCTAACCCACATATCTTTATAGAATTTTAACTACATCAAAATTGTTAGAACTATAACCCACATATATCTTTATAAAATTGTTACAGTATTTACAGTATAAAAATATAGGTAGAAAATCAATTTATATTTATTCATTTCAAATATCACTAGTAATCATTTTATATTTCAATTTATAGTTAAATCAATTTAAAACAATGTATACAACAAATTTGAGTTATAAAAAATATTAGAATAACAAAATTAATTATTATTTCTCTTTATTTAAAATTAAAACATAAACAAAAATAAGTATTGAAAATATAAACTTAAAAAAACATGTATTGAAAAAAAAAAGATGTATTGAAAAAAAGAAACTTAAAAAAATATTGCACGCACAAAATAATTATGCATTAAAACATAATAATAATAATAATAATAATAATAATAATAATAATAATAATAATAATAATAATAATAATAATAATAAGAGATTGATTATTAAATAAAAATAAAAAAATAAAGATTAATGTTTGACTACATTTAATGAGGTGGTGCAAATAGCACTTTTTTATTTGCACCACCTATAAAGCTATTACACCTATTAAATAGGGGGTGTAAATAGCAAAATGGGTGGTGCAAATAGAATTTCCCAAAAAAAAAAACTCCATCCCGTCACCTTCTCCGGTGAGAAGGCAGGGACTACCTTCTCACCGGAGAAGGCAACTGGGCTGCACCACCTATGAATTAATTTTGACCTAATAAATGCAATTTTAATAAGGTGGTGCAAATAGCATTTTGACCATCCATTAGGCTATTTGCACCACCTATATATTTATTATAAATTATAACCTTTTTACATTTCCAATGATACTTTATACCATTTTTGGTCAAAAGGTGGTGCAAATAGCAACACCTTAATTAACCCTTCATTATACCATGGCCATGGCCCTTACATTTTTATAGAAGGATTTGAGTATCGTTATTTGGTAATAATCATTACATAATTACTGTACCTTATTCATTATTTTCCGAATATAATTTGCCCGACCACGAAACCCTTATTATTATCTAATGAGTTGCAATTGTTATATCTTGCACCAGGGTGCACAATACATTGTGTGCTCTGTCCAAAACGACATCGTTTTTTATGTTAAGATTTTATATGCATTATGTTAAGAGTTTATATGTATTATGTTAAGAGTTTATATGTATGATTTATTATGTTAAATTATGTGTATTATGTTATGAGTTTATATTATGTGTATTGTGTATTATGTATTATGTTAGACTATGTGTATTATGTTATGAGTTTATGTGTATTCTGTTATGAGTTTATGTACATTTGAAACAGAGAATTTTCTTTTTAGAAGTTAACGGCAGAAACAAGAAACGGAATTTTTAATAAAAAACATATACAAAACGACGTCGTTTTGGCCCGAGTGCACGTGCATTGTGCATCATGGTGCACGATATAATTTTCTAATGAGTTGATGAATTTATTGACATAAAACTTGCCTGGATTAAAGGTTTAAGTCTATTAAATGCAATCAAAAAACCTTTATGATAATATTTTTCTCAATTACTAAATAGACAAATGAATCTAGAGACATAAACTTGTCCGTGGGTTAAAGTTTTAATTTTATCATTATACAATTTTATTGCTTACAAAATACGAAATTTTCTCCCAAATTAAAGTCCCACATTTCAGCCTGACAAAATAGGTGAAGTTCCATTTCAGGTAGGAGGACCACTGCCTACTGCACACAACGAGCCCACCACTCACAGTGTTGTTGTCAAGTTTAATTATGTGTCCTTATCCACAATCTATTATCTAAAAACCAACTGTTCCTGCGAGCCAATAGACTTTATTATGAAATCCTATGGAGGATGACTTGAACTCCATGTTTTGGTCGAAGCATGAAAGGCTGAACTGGGGAGTGAACATAAGACGAAGATAGCGCAAGCGAGTAGCGTGGCAGGATCATAGAGAGAACAATCTTAGCCTCAGCCATGGCAAAGTTTAAGCCCAGACAAGTACGAGGTCCATATCCGAATGGCAGGAAGGCAATTGGATGGTTGTTTGTGGCTTTCACCACTCCTTCTGCAAATCTTTCTGGCTTAAACTTATGAACATCTTCACCCCATATCTCAGGATCGTGTTGAAATGCCAGAGGTGAAATGTAGAGATGAATATTAGGCGGTAGAGTTATGTTCCCTAGAACAACATTCTTCTTCTCAACCTTCCTCTTGATGTAAGGCACCGGAGGATATAATCTTAAGGTTTCTTCAAGAATCATGTTCATCTGCAAAGAAAACAAAACAAGAATCATGCAACATCTCTACCCTGACCCAAAGTGTTATTTTTATTAGAATATGGAAATTAGATAGATATGTAAACATTATTGTTCTTAAAATATTGTAGATTAGTTGTATTATTCTCTGTCTTATTTAGGTATATGACCGTTGTCCAAAATTATATATATATATATATATATATATATATGCCTAAGGTAATTCAATAAACTGAGAAAACAATATTTCTTACAATTTTCCTATTTATTATGCTATAACATGGAATTTTAGTACTTACAATTTTCAATCTTGCAATGCCATAAGGGGTGGGATTCTCTTGCCCAAACACTTCCATGACCTCTTTCCTTGCTCTCTCTTGCCAGTCCTCATGTGTAGCTAGAAGGAGAGTTGCCCATCCAAGCAAAGACGTCGTCGTTTCGTGCCCCGCAAAATAGAATGTTTTGCATTCATCAACCATGGCTTCTATGCAAATTTGGTTGTCATCATTATTTTCTTGATTAGCCTCCAAGAGTTTCTCAAGAAAATCACTTTTTGGTTCCCCAGTTTTTGTCTGCTCTCTCTTCTTTATAATCTGAATTATTCCATTTCTGATACCTTCCTCAAGTTTCTCAGATTCCAATTCATCACTGCTCTTCATGATTCTACTAATCCCTGGAAACCTAACATTCAGAAAATTCTTGGAGGCTAAGGTTGTTAGCTTTATCAGCATCTCAAATATGTTTTTCCCTTCCAAGTAATTGCTTCCAAAAGCTGTCCTGGAAATCACTTCTGATGTTAACAGCCTGAACTCCTCAAAAGCTTCAATCTCTTTCCCTTCGTGTTCCCTCCATGCCTCCACCATTGTTTCTGCACTTTCGATCATGGCTGGAAGCATACCCTGCAGTAAGACACATCAGTACAGTTCATCTAATAGCCAATAAGGATGCTTCTATGAAACTTGAATTTCTTATCCATACAAGACAAAATTTTTCCGGCTAAAGATAGTGGAGATATAAATTATAGTAACTCAACAACCCATTAGGTAAGAGAACCAATATCTAGACCTACCAGGAGTCAGTTACATTAGGTGTGACTCCCACACCGCGATTGCCAAGTTCGGTCATGTGTTCTTTCTCACAATTTACTACTTAGGAATTGAGCTGTCCGTGCTATCAAGAAACCTTAAAATTTTTTCTGCAAAATTTCCTTGCCCCGATGGCCCCAACACCCCGGTCTAACAGGATAATAGAGAGATAAATCACAAATACTCAGCAATCCATTGGGTGAGAGAATCAGTGCATAGTGCCCACAAGGAACCCACTAGGCCGACCACCACATTGGGCGACAGTTATGCCATGGATCGGGTCAAAATACACAACTCAATTACATACGGTTGTGAACATTTAGAATATAAAATTGTGAACATTCAATTTGTAAATTATAAACATTCAGTATGTAAATTGTGGACATTCTATATGTAAATTGTGAATATTCAATATGTAAATCGTGAACATTTAGTATATAGTTGTGAACATTCAATATGTAAATTGTGAACATTTAGTATATAATTGTGAACATTCAGTATATAGTTGTGTATTTTTTGACCAAGGTCCACCTTGCAAGGTGGACTCGTGTTGGTGTATCTCCCACATTGTAACTATCAGGCTCAATCATGTGTTTTTGCCCACAATCTCTCACCCAGGAATTTAGTTACATTGCTCGTGTGGGCAACAAACTTAAAATTTTTCCACAAAAAAAAAAAAAGTTAATAATAATAAAATTCCATTGTGCCCAAGGCCCAAACACCGCAACCCAACAAGATATTAGATAAGTAAATGTGCAATTTATATCGTGCACCACGGCGCACATAGCAATGCGCGTCCAGGCACAAAACGCGCGCGTTTCTTGCTGACGTCACTTCGTCCGTCCGAACAGACAAAACCCCATTATGTGTATTGTGTTATGAGTTTGTGTGTATTCAGTTAAGAGTTTACGTGTATTATGTTAACCAAACCCCATTATGTGTATTTAGTTAAAAGTTTAGGTGTATTGTGTTATGAGTGTATGTGTATTATGTTAACCAAACTCATTATGTGTATTTAGTTAAAAGTTTATGTGTATTGTGTTATTAGTTTATGTGTATTCAGTTAAGAGTTTATGGTATTATGTTAACCAAACCCATTATGTGTATTCAGTTAAAAATTTATGTGTACTATGTATTATGTTAGATTATGTGTATTCTGTTATGAGTTGATGTGCATTCGAAACAGATGATTTTTTTTTAACTTAACAAAACGATGTCGTTTTGGGAGGCGCGGGACGCACAGTGCTATGTGCACCGTGGTGCACGGTATAACGATTGAAGTAAATGATAGTGAAGGGCCAATTAAGTGGGAGGACAATCATTATTGTGTGGACCATGGTCCACACAAGTTGTGTAAACAATATTTTATCTACTGTAAAATAATGTACATTCAGTACAAAAATAATGTACATTGTATTCAGGGGATGTACACTATTTTTGTTCTGAGTATACATTATATTGTATAATGTAAATTCAATACAAAAATAATGTACATTTAGTATATTAAAACTGTACTTTTTGTTATGGTCCACATAACATTGTGTGGACCATGGTCCACACAATAATTTGCCTTGGGCGGACCCGTGTATGGGTGCCTACAAAAAAACTCACCAACCACCACATTTGATATAAGAGCATCCACACTAGTGGATAATATGGGGTTAATGTAAGAAGAAATAACTTGGATGGGGTTATTTATTGATGTGGGGTGGGGTTAATGATAGAAGTATTTGTCTTGCAAATACAAAAATATTTCTCTTCCCAATGCATTCCCTATATCAGACAAGATAGGCTGCTGTGCGCGTTTCGCGCACAGCAGCCATCCCACACGGGCGCGTGCATTGCACGCGGGCGCGCCTGACCATTTTTTTTAATCTTTTTTTTTTTTTAAATCAGTTTTGTTATTTTTTTTTTTTAATTTTTTCTCTCCTGATCACTCTTACATTATCCCCCAAATCTCCTCAACTAATGTGGATGCTCTAACTCTCACACTACAAATAGCAAAACTGGATCATGTGTCTTTGTCCACAATCTATCCTAACAAATCTAAAATTCTTGAAATGATAGGTAATTGATCGATCTTACTCTGAGGCTTTCTCCATGGAAGACATTGTTGGCTAGTTTTCGCATTCTTGCCCACTTTTCCCCTTTTGATGATGCAACACCATCTCCTAGCAGCTTCCTGCTGAAGCCTTGAAGGTCTATTTTTGGGTAATTTCCCTTTCTGTCACTCAGTATCTCCTTCACAAGTTCTGGTTCAGTCACTACCAGCTCCGGTTGCGACCCTAACCAGTAAAGAAAATTCACCCCTACAATTCAAAAACACAAACATTGAATCAACAAAACAACATTTTAAAGCTTACTAGGAAACCCAACAAGTTTAATCTGATGAATAACCAATTCAAGCAACTAACCATATAGCCTTTTCCAGGAATATATGTGTGGCAATATTCTTGGAAATATGTCATGAGACAAATCTTCCATGGGCTTGCTGGTGATTCCTCTTCTGGCGTCAGAGATTTCTTTGGTGTTTCCATGGAGGAATCTGTAAGAAGGCCCTTTGATCCCCTGGGAACTCATCAGCTTTTGTATATGAACAGGAGCCCACCATAGCTTTTCACACAACCATGCCGCAGCTAACACCAACAAAGATGAAATTAAAATTATGATGATTATCATCATCATCATCATCTTAATTAACCTGCAATAATAATTCCCAAATGATTATCTGCAGAACTTTAAAGAAAAAACCAAGTGCCTAAATTGGGAATTTCGTGTTGCAGCTACAAGACAATCATATCTAAGATGCCATTCTTGACTTCATCTAAAATCTAAGTAGAATTCTTGAATTATATATATCACTCAAATATTAATTAAATTGCAATAATTGTACTAACATCTCTTTTAATTTAATTTAATATATCATCTTTGAACATGACCTGTTCATTGAATTGAAAGTGGTCCAAGCATGCATATATGAAAAGCATCTATTAGTCTGCATGGACAGCTCAGTTGATTGGTCACTGGCTTGGGATTGAGTCTCACCAGCAAAAGTGTGGGACCAACCTCTCAAAGTAAGTGGAGCTCCGTATGCGTAATAAGCAAATGTCTAGCCCATGTGTTCATATGTGTTCAATTGAATTACAATAATTTACATTTTCCCAGATGCTCTGTCAGACGGAGAGGTTGGGGGTCTTTGAGGTTGGAAATTTAAACTTGAAACCTTATACTTATCAAATCAAACTAACTTAATTAGAGTTTGTGTAATTCTTTTTAAATAAAATGTAATAAAAATATTATACATCCCATGTGAGACTATCTTACACAAAACCTACTCATTCGGACTTGGTCCCGATCTTCTCTTCACACTCTGAATAAAATAACATTTTAGAACAATTTATTAGGCTAGGTGAAATATGATTAAAATGTTTAATTTAGGCTGGGTATAAGGGTTTGACGTAGGATTTGGGATGACACACAAGTGAGATTTTCACACCTGATAAGTCAGGATGACCATGACTTAATCATGGTCGAATTCTTCCGAGTTCCAGAAAACACTTAGTTTTCCAATTCAAAAATTCTCAAACTCTATATTTCATTTAGAATGCAATGACCTTAAATAGCCATTAACAACCAAATTACAACCACATGAATGAGATAGTTAGAATATGATAAACTAATCCTAACTAACCAACTAAGATAAGATTAATAATAATATAATACTAACAAATTTAAATCTAAGATAATTTTAAAATAATCATCCTAATTAAATAATAAAACTAGTTCTAAAATATTCTAATATTCTAACAACCAATTGTTGATTCTCGTGCCCACAACACCTACTCTTCTTTAATAACTAAAGATAAAATTATTGGAAGGTCATTAGGATAATTTATGTCAACATTTTATTGCAAATTGTAAATCTTAAGAGTCTTTTTAAAAGTGTATTCAATAGACAAACAAAAAATACATAATGTATTTTGGTATCAATTCCTGGAATAGCTATACTACAGGAAAAAATTGAGGAATCAGTCCAAACAAACTGACAATCATCACCATTGTCATCTGGACTCTTTCTTGCATCCTTAAATAGTGGGAAAGGTCTCTGGCTAGATATGAGTTAGCCGCAGGGACTTTATATAGCATACTGGGAAGGCCAATGGACAGGAAGGAAGTCATTAATTACATGCACTGTACTATCTATTAGGCAAACCCAACGTTCTCTACCTACCAATTCGTGCTCATTTCCAATAATAATTGATGATATCAAGAATTAATTAATGTTGAACTTCCTGAGGATATTAATGGCCAAAAACTATAGACAAGCAAGTGCATAATTAATTAATAGGACATTATCTACTTAAAGCTTGATTCTTGGGTGCAAAAGTTGAGCGAGTTAAATCATGCAATGGTGGCTGTAATCTGTTGCTCATGAACCAAGTTACAGTTAATGATATGGTGGCATGATCACTTTTAATTTAGTCTTAAACTATAAGAATGATTAATATTAGTCCCTGATGACTATTGTGTATGTTTTTATCATATTTGATTCTGTCATAATTTCATGAAAATTTAATGGTCATTTAGGTAAGAGAACTAATATATGGTACCCACAACTAAGGACCCACTCTTAAGAAATTTAAATCACGCATATCTAAAAGCAATCTTTCACCTACAAATCAGCTAAGTTACCGGCGACTTAGAGTTTGATTTTGTTACAACATAATAGGACTAACTACAAACACAATCGTTCTTTTGTCTATACTGTCTACTCATAAACTAATTAGTCTTCACGGTACCATTACTGTTTTTATCATTTTTGGTTCTTAGTCATTACTGTAAATACTAAAGTCAAAATGTGAAATGAGATGAGGTATGAGAGAGGGTTTGAATAAGACAAAGAATGAGATGAGGTATAAGAGGAGGTTTGAATAAGACAAAATATGAGAAGAGGTTTTGCTTGGGGAAAATGTATGAGATGAGGTTGGAGTATAGGTTTTACTTGGGGAAAAGGTTGCAGGAGAAGTTTCATGCCTTGCAAATTCCTACGCATTTAATGTGGCATTAAATGCTTTGCAAATCTCTCAGCTTTTTTGTTGCTATAAATAGGCACCCTCCTTCATTCATTTTGTTCATCCCATCTAGCTCATCTGTATCATCCATTCGAAATACAAAGAGTAGTATAGCAAAATACAGATAGTGAAAATAGAGAGTTATATTTGTAATTCCTATTGTAATATCCTTTTGCCAATACAAAAAATTCTTCTTCAATTTGTCTTATTTTGTGTATGATTTATTTTAAATCTTACACTAGAAATTTATTCTCAATATTTCCAGTTCAAGTTGCTATTGTATTTTGGTGTTGTGAACCGTATTGATCCTAACAAGTGGTATCAGAGCCTCAGGTTGGTTCATAGATATATCTTTACTGTATCGTTTACGTTAGAACTCATACTGGTAAAGTGATTGTACATGTCTAGGAAAAGCTCTAGTTAAGACTTGGTATTTAAGCAGTCCATTTGTGACTCACCTCTCTTCTATAGAAATATTTTCCTGGTGTACTGTTCACAGGACCAGTAGTGTTCTATAATACGATACTATTTAGATATATTGTTCAGGATTTGAATCAAGAACACCACTTACAATGGTGGTAAAGTATGAGATTGCAAAATTCAAAGGGAACAATTTCTCTTTGTGGAAAATGAGAATGAAAGCAGTTCTCAGGAAAGATAACTGCGTAGCAGCAATTGAAGAAAGACCAGCCGATTTCACTGACGAAGCGAAGTGGACAGAAATGGATAGCAACGCTATGGCCAATCTGCACTTAGCACTTGCTGATGAAGTTTTGTCAAGTGTGGCGGAAAAAGGTACAGCAAAAGAGGTATGGGTACTCTCGTAAATTTGTATGAGGCCAAATCATTGCACAATTATACACTCTCAGGATGATGGAGACATCCTCAGTAACTGAGCACATCAACACTCTATTTTCACAACTCTTGGCGTTGAGTTATAAAATAGAAGTGAATGAACATGCTGAAATCTTACTCCAAAGTCTACCGGATTCATATGATCAACTCATTATCAATCTAGTCAACAACAAGGAGGTACTTGTCTTCGATGATATTGCAGCTGCGGTTCTTGAAGAAGAAAGTCGGCGCAAAAACAAAGAAAACAAAGTTGGAATTTCACAACAATCTCAGGCGTTGACAGTGACAAGATGAAGATCAACGGAGCCTAGCTCTAGTGGGAGTCACAACCGAGGTAGATCAAAGTCAAGGGGTAAGAAGAATATCAAGTGTTTTCACTGTGGCAAAAAGGGACACTACAAGAATGATTGTTGGCAGCTCAAGAAGGATGGCGCCAAAGGCAAAAATCCCGAGACATCAAATGCTTAGGGATGTGTTGTGAGTATATCAGATGAAGGCGAAGTTTTATTTAGTGAAGTAGCAACAATTGTTGAAGGTAGAAAAAGTCTAGCTAATGGACTCAGGAGCAACACGGCATATGACCTCACGGAAAGAATGGTTTCATGAATATGAACCTGTCTCTAGAGGATCGGTGTTCATGGGAGATAATCATGCCTTAGAGATTGCTGGCATTGGTACTATCAAACTAAAAATGTTTGATGGTACGGTTCGCACTATCCAAGAGGTACGACACGTGAAAGGCCTGAAGAAAAATCTATTGTCTCTAGGACAATTAGATAGCCGTGAATGTAAGATTCACATTCAAGATGAGATCATCAAAGTAATCAAGGGCACGCTTGTTGTGATGAAAGCTGAAAAGATAGCGGCCAATCTATACATGCTTAAAGGAGAAACACAACTACAAGGAGAATCAGCTGTTGCAGTAGACAATCTTATGGAGGAATCAACGATGATGTGGCATCAAAAACTTGGCCACATGTCGGAACGAGGTCTAAAGATTCTTGCTAATCAACATCTTCTTCTGGGGCTAACGAAGGTTTCATTACCTTTTTGTGAGCATTGTGTTACAAGTAAGCAACATAGATTGAAGTTCGACAGCTCTAAAGAAAGGAGCAAGGCTATCTTGGAGCTAATCCACTCTGATGTTTGGCAAGCATTAGTTGTATCCCTAGGAGGTGCAAAATATTTTGTATCATTCATCGACGACTACTCGAGGAAATGTTGGGTGTATCCAATCAAGCGGAATGCGAATGTATTTGAAGTTTTCAAATTCTTCAAAGCACGTGTGGAACTTGAATCCGAGAAACAGATAAAGTGTTTGAGGTCGGACAATGGAGGAGAATACACTAGTGACGAATTTAATAAATTCTGTCTGCAAGAAGGTATCAAACGACAGTTCATGATGACGTATACTCCACAACAAAATGGAGTGGCAGAGCGGATGAACAGAACCTCGTTGGAAAGAACAAGGGCAATGTTGAGGACTGCAAATTTGACAAATTCATTTTGGGTTGAAGCAGTCAAAACCGCCTATTATATGATCAATCGGTCACCATCAACCGCAATTGATCTGAAAATGCCAATGGAGATGTGGACTGGTAAGCCATCTAGTTATTCTCACTTACATACATTTGGGAGTTCGGCATATGTGATATACAACGCTCAAGAAACATCAAAACTTGATCCAAAATCAAGAAAATATGTTTTCTTGGGGTATGCTGATGGAGTGAAGGGGTATCGCCTGTGGGATCCCACTACCCACAAGGTTATCATCAGCATGGATATTCTATTTGTAGAAGACAAGGTACAAGAGAGTGAAAACACTGTGAAAGAGAAGCCAGTGACTACAACAGTACAAGTTGAGGGAAGGAAGGAAGAAGAAATTCCAGTTTTCCCTTAAGCAACAATAGAGCATGATGAACAAGAGCAAGCTGAGTCTTCAACTTCAGAAATTCGACGATCAACTCGGGAGAGGAGACAACCAGATTGGCACTCAGATTATTCTATGGAGGGAAATGTTGCATAATGTCTACTAACAGAAGATGGTGAGCCAGTTACTTACCATGAGGCTATAAAAGGTCCAGATGCATCTCTGTGGATGACAGCAATGCAAGAAGAAATTGAAGCTCTCCATAAGAATAAAACATGGGAACTTGTCCCGTTACCACGAGAAAGGAAGGATATTGGAAACCAATGGGTCTATAAGATCAAACGAGATAGCAACAATCAAGTGGAACGGTATCGTGCTCGATTAGTTGTGAAAGGATTTGCTCAGAAGGAAAGAGTTGATTTCAACGAGATATTTTCTCCTATTGTACGACTTACAACGATTCGAGCAGTCCTAGCGATGTGTGCTGTGTTTGACTTGTATCTTGAGCAGTTGGATGTGAAAACTGCGTTTCTACATGGAGAACTTGAAGAAGGGATTTTTATGCTCCAACCAGAAGGTTTTGAAGAAGAAGGAAAAGGGAACTTGGTTTGCAGGTTGACAAAATCTCTATACGGTCTCAAACAAGTGCCGAGATGTTGGTATAAGATATTTGATTCATTCATTCTGAGCCTTGGATACAACATATTTAATTCCGATCCTTGCGCATATTGCAAGAGATTTGATGATAATCTGTTTATCATCTTGCTGTTGTATGTTGACGATATATTGGTAGTAGGCCCCAACAATGATCGTATCACGAAGATGAAGGTTCAACTAGCTAGGGAATTTGAAATGAAGGACTTGGGACCAGCAAACAAGATTCTAGGGATGCAAATTCACCGAGACAGAAATAATAGGAAGATTTGACTTTCAGAGCAGAATTATCTGAAGAAAATCTTGTGGCGCTTCAACATGCAAGATTGTAAGCCAATTTCTACCCTTCTTTCTATTAATTTCAAGTTATCCTCAAGTATGAGTCCTAGCAACAAAGCAGAGAGGATGGATATGTCTCGAGTACCGTATGCATTAACGGTTGGCAGTTTAATATTTGCTATGATCTGCACTAGACCAGACATTGCACAGGCTGTGGGAGTGGTTAGTCGATACATGGCGAATCCTGGTAGAGAGCATTAGAGTGCTGTGAAGAGGATCCTTAGATACATCAAGGGTGCCTCAGATAT